AAATGGAGAAATATAAAATATTGATCTGTTTTGTAATTTTTGATTTATTTTTAACATATTTTTACCCAAAATATTGCATAAATTTCAATGGTTCGGTTTTCACTTTCCACAAATTTCGTCAAAGAAATTCTGTACATAATAAATTGAAAAAGGTAAATTTAGAAATTTTTAATAATGTTTTGATCTATTTTTATTATATTAAAACCTAGTAGTTATGGTAGTTACTAAAATATAGAGAAAATTAAAAGTTTCAAATTGTTTCTTTTTTTTGTGTGGAAAGTTTCAAATTGTTTCTTATATTAATTATTATATATATATATATTGCAGATTTATTCATTATATTATTATTATTATTAAATAATAATGTGTGTATCCCACAAAAAATAATAATAATCGTGTGCCTATTTAATATTTATAAAATCGACTGACTTTAGTTTGAGAAGTTTGCCTCATATTTTTGAATTTTACATTAGTTATTTTTGGAAATTTTTATTAAGATAATAAGTATGTATTAAATTTGAAAATTGTTTTAGCTATTTTCGAAATAATTAATAGAGATTTTCTTTACTATTTTTTTTGCAATAATAAATATTTCTTTAAATTGAAGATTTTCTTAAGTATTTTCGAAAACTTTTAGGGAGATTTTCTTGTCTTCATTATTGATTTTTAAACTATTTAAAAAGAAATATTAATACCAATGGCAGAACCTTGTAAATAAGTGAGCAAAGCAAAGGTTTTTTCATAAGTTGCTGCAAAAATGTTAATATAGATACACAAATAAAAATTTAAAAAGAAGTAATTTATATTACCTCAATTCTCGTGAATGAATCTATAAATCAAATTGTGTTTATGTGTTAAGCCATACACACAAATTACACAATCCAAGGTACCAATATCGTTCCTTGAACCCTGGTAAGACTCACTCACTCGCCGTGTTGAGTGTTGGCGTACCATTTTGGTGGGTTGGATTGGTAACAAATTGTCTATTATATTAACATTTAATCTTTTGAACATATAACAAACTACCCGGTTTAATATAGTTACGATGGCAAATTGATAAACAAACAAGTTGATCTTTTTGGTTATAATTAACCCAAATAGCATATATAACGTAGGGTTTAGCTCGGAGGACAACTTTTGTTTCATCTAATCTATACTATTAATTGGGAAGGACAACTTGAAGCAAAACATCCCTTAATTGAAAAAAAAATTCATGAAATATATTCCATTTGCCAAACATAATTATTGACAGCAAAAAAAAAAACAAAAAAACAAAAACAATCTATATTTATGGAAATCATAATAATCTTTTACCATAAAAAGTGGCCAATTAAATTCAAAATTAAATATATGTAAACATGTCTATTTTGAATATACATTAACATATTTAATATTAATTTAATATTTTAATATAATTTCGAAATTAATAGAATAAATATAGAATGAAATCTAATAAAACAAAATCATCATATATCTAAAAAACAAAGATAAATTTTTTATAGATTAATAAAAAGATAAAAAAATATGTTAGCATATGAAATAATCAACTAATCAAATTTTACATAGTATATATACATCATCAAATTTTTAAAAATTATATAATTTTTAAATATAAATAAAAATTAAACAAATCAATAATTAAATATTTGTTTGCTAAAATCATGCGAATAAACATTTTAGATCACATAAATTTCTTATTTTCACATAAAAATATATTCATATTCAAAAAGCAATCTAGCAATTATAGCACAAAAAATATCTACAAAATGTATCATTAATTCAATTAGTTAATGTTTTTTTATTTGGTCAAACAGTTAGCTTATGATTATTCTAAACTTCTTTTTCTTATTAATTTCACACAATCTTAACAAAATAAATCTTCATCCATTGGAAATTTGCATATCATTACTATTATCAAATATTAAATAATTGTTTTATCAAATATATTCCAGTTGCCAAACAGAATTATTGACAGCAAAAAAAAAAACAAAAACAATCTATATTTATGGAAATCATGATAATCTTTTTACCTATAAAAAAGTGGACAATTAAATTCAAAATTAAATATATGTAAACATGTCTATTTTGAATATACATAAACATATTTAATAT